AAAGTAAACGTAACTTTGACTCTACGCTAAATTCCACTTCAAAGTGATAACTAATCTCCATTATCTACTTTTTGATTCATCTCAATTTTCGCTATTCCAATATTATTAAGCATAATTTGACCTCATATGTAAGAACGTTTTCCACTTATTGTACATACTTTCCAAAATAAATATTTTAAATGTAAATTACTTCTCCCATCATTTTTTTGACATTTCATAATGCTGTCTAATTTTAAGCCTACTTTGGGTCAAGCATTTGAAATAGAACCTACATCATTAAAAGGGAGTTATGTAATTCCCCCCATGTTTAGAGAGTAGCACCAAAAAGTTGAATTTCAATACTTTTTATTTAATAACCAGAGGCACTTTATCGATCCTTTCGACTGCTAGGTCTTCACGGTTGATGGTCGATTCCATAATAACCGACTTTTCACGTTATATGGAAAACAAAACATGGAGAGTTCAAAGTAGAGGTAATTGGATATTATCAAGAGATTCTAGCTGGCTACTGACAATATTCATAGCCTCGATGTCTGAAATTAGCCTCAAGATCTTGCTGTCTTCAAATTTCCAAGAAATTAATTATAGGCAGCAGAAAATATAGTATTTAGACTTCACCAGATGTAGTCACTCTGCGAATCTTATGGGAAATTTTTATAAGGTGACCAATAAGTTACCAACATGAGGTCTCCACCCTAAACGATCCTTTCAGATCATTTAACAATTACAAATGATTGTAACTGTAAGCTATGTTGTAAGGTTTAGCTAATTTCAATTAGTTCAAAAGCAGAAAAGTTTATTTGTACTTGATACGCAGTACAAATTCACGAAGTTTGTACCTTCAGAGCTTGTTGACCTTAAGTTTCTACAAAGTAGGAGTAGCGATTGATACAAAAGTAAGCTCTTGAGTTATCCTCTGAGGAGACAAAGTACAATAGGCATCCCGCGTAGTCTTCTAGTACAAACTCTGCTCCAAATAATCAGAGATGTAGGAAGATAGATAATGATGGGTGCAAATTCTCTCTCCAATGCAGAGAAATTTGGCGTATGATAACTGAATAATTATTAATTTGGAACGTAATTCTAAAAGAGTACAACTTGGGTTGGGGATTGAGATCACTCAGTTTCACTTATGAGAGACCCTCACCACCGTATTCATCACTACGACATTAGGCTTGAGCAAACCTTTCAATAAAATTTTTTATTATTAGGATTTATATTTAAGAATTTGAATCTCTTAACCCTAAAACGCTCAAAATAATAAATTTCATGCGAACTCAAACATTCTGGAACCTGCAGCCGTGTTGCGGAGATATCAAAACTAATCAACAAAAAATAGCCATTTCTACAGGACCGGCGTAACAAACCAAGTATCTAATACTAATACACTGTCGGGAACACCTTCATACTAGAGGTTACTGAGGTTTAATAAAGGTTTATTTATATAGTAATTCGTCACCAGATAACCGTAATTGACTCTTCAAAGCAGAAAAATTCGAAATAAAGTTGACTTTCAAATGGAAAGCTGATTTCATGTTTTAATTTACACTATTATGTAGAGACTGTTCTAGGTAATTTAGCCGAATTATAAATACTAGTTAATTACAATTAGCTATTGCCTATTCAGTTTAATTTACATTTTTCCACTGCCTTACATATCAACAAAGAAAGAAAGTGTTAGATAAATGTATAATCGAATAAACTTCTAAGTTTCATCAGCCTTGTTAGAATCTACCAAAATAAAAACGCGGTGTCGAAATTTCTAGATTTTGAGAATTACCTTGAGGTAATTTTTAGATATTGACACTACCAACTTTTAAATTAATTTATAAAGGCGAAATTGTTACTTATACGTATTTATGTAAATACTTTGATGTTCCTTCCCCTCTGTGAAGCCTGAAGTCAACTAAAGGGCTAATGATAACCAACAAAGCGCCTGCCGTTTGATATAATAAACTTTTTATCACTACTGAAGAGTTTATCAATAATTGGCACGAACATCAATATCAACCAGGTTTTACAAAAAAAGGGAATCTTAGTAGTCTTAAAAGTCTTGGCCCTCTCTCTATTATGAAATATATTGAGTAAAAATGTCTAAGGAAATAATGGGTACCAGGAAAAAAAGGTTAAAGTAAAAATAATTTTTTTTCTTAACTGCTAATACGCCGAAATTAAATTTGCGCCAACTTCACTTACTATTAGTCGATCTCTTTCATCGATTTAAGTGTAAGCTTACCACAGGCGTAACTGAGTCGTAGATGCCTCCTAGCACAGAGAGGAGGAAAGCCGGGAGGAAGCATAGCAGCGTCAGGCATGACAGAGCACGTTCTCTCTCGGCCACACATTTCAACTAGGCCAGTAGTCACTTCCAACCGACTTGGGCATACTCCAGCTGAACTTGCTGGTTCTGAAGGAGAGAAAGCTAAAGAATGTCATATGAGCTCTCTCATGAATGATAATTAAAGGGATACAGGAAAAAATTCCAGTGAATTAGTCCAATCTCAAAAATAAATTTTATGGTCAATTTCTAGAATTTTGAGGGTTTACTAAAGGCAGAAACAAATTGGAAGTATGTTTCAAGGTAAAATAAATTCACAGGCCTGGCTTTCTTCGACCCAATTATAATCTAGATTCTTGATTGAAGTATTCTGCCCTCTACGTCAAGTTATATAATACGACATATTTCTTAGTATTTGCTAATTCAATTAGTAAAATAGAGTTAGATTGTACATTTAACATGTCCAGTAACCTAACCTAAAGCTTCAAGATAACGGGCATCTTTCGATCGTTGGGTGTCCATTATAGAAGTCAGGGTAGTGTCATCTATCTCGTATAAAGCACGAAGAGTTGTGCGAGCAGACACCAATCAGCATCATTATTTGCGTGGGATGGTGTTAACTGTACGTACTTCTCTGAGTTTTAGTAAGGTCATTTTTGGTGCACTCTCTGTATTTGTCTGCGGTTAGTAGGACTTACAATAGACTTAGTCATGAACTTATCTGTGCCGTTGGTCGCCATAGGACATTATATCTACATGTATTGTGAGTGAGAATAAATCAACTTGTACCATATAGAAATTGTGTCAACTATTTGTGCCTGGAATGTTCCCGTAGTTCTAGGATCAGTTTGAATTGAAATGACCCGAATCATTTAGGTTATAAACATGAAAATTAGGTATCTTCACCAACACCATTTAACGTAAATGTGAAAAATGCAGTGATACACCTTACCCAAATCTACTAAATATACTGTTATACGGTCACCGGACATTGTATCACTTCGAGTTTTTTATTTGTTTATCATAACATTTTGATTACTCTTGCAAATTGACGTTGATTTTTTAAAGCTCAATAACCAATTTAAAAAGACTACAAATAAAACAACAAATTGTATTAATATATAATACTATCTCATAGAAAGCTATGAAATCGGCTAATGAATAATTATTAACTTGGATTCCTGCTTCGAGAATAGCTTATTATTTGCCTTAACAAGTAAAATCAATATTTTTTGGAGCAAAATTGGATAGAAAATAAGTAGTATAATTTCAAACTATAGGGAATGTTTTACTCTCTTATTTATTTTATTAGGAGCGCAATGAAAATATACAAAACTGCATAGATTGCAAAAGCAAAAATGTTTTTTTTTGCTATTTCTTTGCAAAGTTATAAGAACTACGCAGGGAAATATTTTTTAATAAATATTATACTAGAAAGTATACCAATATTTATCCTCGCAAAAATATTAGGCAATAGATATGCTGGAATAATTACTTCCTAAGCACTTTTATTTGCATATGCAATTAGCAGCATAAACTTACCGACTATATTGGGGCAGATTTGGGAGTCCACTTCCATAACAAGCTGAGCGTCAAGTACGACGATAGACTCGTCGTTTCCA